AAAAAATTGTAGGCTGCATGAACTAAAAATTTCCCATCTTTCCTATGTCTCCACCAAAAAGTGTCATTTTGAGGATTGATGCAAGGAGGAACAGTAGTGATTTTCCTAATGATATTTTTAGAGAAGAACATATGAAGTAAACCATATTCCAACAGCCTAAAGGGGACATGAGATCAGAGACTTTTGTATAGGTGTTAATCCGGTGATTATGATTAAAGACCAGATTAATGAGAAGTTGACTGATCGATGCCTATTAGTCCCACCAAAAGCTAGGTGATAAGCTATTATTGATCTTCTTACTAATCCCTTATAGGAAATCCTCCCACACCAAAACAATGCTTTGCCAAATGTGAGAAGAAGAGTGTTTCGAGGTCACTAAAGGAACTTCACCATTGCAGCAATCATATTTAGCTCTCAAGCACCTCACCCAAAGACAATCAAGTTTGGTAATTAATCCCCAACATAGTTTTATGATGAAGGCTTTGTTCTACAATATAAGGTCCTTTATGCCTAGCTCGCTAATGTATTTCTGGCCTTTGATAACATCCCACAAAATCAAGTGAAGTTTTGACTTATTGTTGTGTTCATCCCAAAAGAATCTTCTGCAATATTTTTCAATTTCATGAAGGATGAATTCTGGAATTAGCATGGTTTTCATCATATAGAAGGGGAGAGTTGATAAAACAAACTTAATAAGCACTGTTGTTCCTGCCTTATTTAGAAATCTACCCTTTCAGCTGGTGAGTCTGTTTCCAACCTTATCTATAAGAGGGGCAAACATACCTTTCCCAATTATGTAATAGAGCAGTGGGACTCCTGGGTATTTGCCAAGGTCATGAGTGAATCCAATCCCTAATGCTTGGCACAAATCTAGCTTTAGTTGATAGCTAGTGTTGGCAGAGCAGAACAATTTTGTCTTACTTAGATTCATCCAATGCCCAGAGATCTTGCAAAATAATTCCATAGCTTGTTTGACAATATTGGCTTGTTCTAGAGAAGCTCAGCAAATATAACTATATCATCCGCGAAGAAGAGATAGGATATTTTTGGGCCTCTGATTGATAGCTTAAGGGGTTTCCAAATCTTGCTTTCACAAAGATGGTGAATTAGCATACCTAATCTTTCCATGCATAAAACAAATAAGTATGGACTTAAGGGGTCTCCTTAGCGAACTCCTCTAGAAGGTTTGAAATCATTCAATTGATTACCATTCCAGTTAATTTTCATAAAAATGGTAGACACACAAGCCATAATGATATTAACAAAGGAGTCGCTAAGTCTCAAACTTTTGAGAGTATGTTCGATAAACCCCCAATCAAGTCTGTCGAAGGCTTTTTCTAGGTCTACCTTGATTGCCATGTATTTTTTTTCTTCTTCTTTCTAATGGTGTGGATGACTTTTTGGGTTATAATTATATTGTCACAGCTTTGACGACTAGCAATGAAACTACATTGATTTGGTTGCACTAGGTGGTTCATATACTTCTTGAGACAACTGGCAATTATTTTGTAAACAATTTTCAAGATTATGTTGCACAAAGAAATAGGGTGGAACTCTTTCATGTAAGTAGGTTGATCAATTTAGGTATTAGACAGATATGAGTTTGGTTGACCAATTCCACCTCTGAAGGATTAGTGAAAACTCCTTTGATGAATTGGCAAACTTTATCACTGATGACATCGCGTTGTTTCTGGAAGAAATGAGCAGTTAGGCCATCGGGCCCCCGGGCTTTAAAGGCACCTTTAGAGAAAATAGATTTTAATTTCTTCAACACAAAGATCTCTTTGAATGTCAGCCAACTCACTGTCTGAGAGGTAAGGGAAAGAATTTGGCCTTGAATTTGCATCTGAAATGGGTTCAGATTTGGTGTAGAGTTTATGAAAGAAATCCACAGCCATCTTCTTTAATTCATTGTGATTGGAGACCCAAATATCTTGTTCGAATTTAAGAGCTTCAATGAATTTCTTCTTCCTCTTGAATATAGTGGATGCATGAAAATTTTTTGTATTTCTATCTTTCCACTTGAGCCATTTGCAGCGTGATTTTTGATACCAGATGAGTTCTTCTTGCATCAGGATTTTTTGGTATTCTTTCCACAATTTGGCTTCTAATTTTTTTCAGCCCATTTCTGTCATTTGTGATGCGAATGTTGTCTGTTCCTTCGAGTCTTCTCAACAATTCCCGCTTTTTCTTTGGGATGCTTCCAACTGTGTTATTATTCCAGTTCATAGCTTTATTCAGGGAAAAATTTTGAACCTTCAAGCCAAGACTTGTCTTTCCAATTATCCTCAACAAGTTCCCTGAAGGAGGGTTCCAGAGTCCATGTTGCATTGAACACAAATTTTGAGCTATGAAACTTGTCACGCACAGTTCCAATAGTTGAAAGAAGGATCGGACGATGATCATATTTGAATTTAACGAGGTTCACCAATTTGGACGACTGAAACTTAAGAATCCAATCGGAGCTGCAGAATTCCCAATCTAGCTTTTCTTTCACACATTCTCATGATCCAAACCAAGTTTTGATTTAAGTTGAAAAGAGTAGCTTTTAAAATTTAATTATACAGTTATTATTTGTCAGATATTTCACTTGCCAAGTTTACCCTTTAATGAAATACACTTTTCCTTCTATCATATTCCAATTGCATCGCATTGTAGCAGGAAGTCTGAGGGTTGAGGAGATATGGGCTCAAGCTAGAGAAGATAGGAAGAGGGTGCTTCTTGTATTTAGGCTCTCACATTGTTGGTATAATAATATTATATATCCTCCTTTTAAAAAATATAAGACATATTTTGAAAAGTTGAATATTAAAAATATAAGATATTTTTAATTTTTTTTGTGCTGTTATTATTGTCTTTTTTTAAAAATGTCCTTGCTAAATAAATTACTTTATATTTATTTTAAGATATTTATAAAGATAAATATGAAAAGATAAGATTAGCTTAAAAATAAATAACTTTATTAAAGATAAAATTTGATTAAAAATATCTTATATTTTTTAATAGAGAGAGTAGTATTTATATTTAATCATATACACTTTTGTACTAGTAGATACCTTGATTTTAAAAAAATATTCAAAAAAGAGTTACAAACCTGGTCCAGTGAGGTTAAATTTGATTTATTTTTTTTAAAAGCAAGATTCCTTATTAATTAAAAAAATAATTTCCTTTATAATAATTTGTATATTTAAAATTAATTTTAACTCATTCATCTAAATATTTTTAATTTTATCAAAATTAATTTCAAAAAACAATATCCACATATAGTCACGTTATAATATAAGTAGTTATAATTAAAATCAATTATATGAATTAATTTTAACTAACTGAAATCCAAACCACACTGTAGCTGCCATTTCTTTTAATAAAGGTTGTTTTTTGGGCGTATTTATTAAAGATTCATAAACAAGATCAGAAGTACAGCAATCTATGATTCTTTCTATTTGCTAGATTAGACGCTTGGGACGACCGGACGAGAGAGTAACTGTAGCTTCAGTAAGACAAGTCATTTCACAAGGGCCTTTCTTTTTCAGTCCGGATTCTCATTCACAGTAAATTATTGTACTGTATACGAGCACCTGATTCCGTAAAAAAAGATATAGAAACTGAAAAAAAATTGAAAAGTTTGTGAACCAAATCTACTCCCTGTATTGCAGCACCCTGCAAAGCCAAAGTGCACGTTCAATTTTTTCTTCTTCTTTTTTTAAAGTATCCAATAAGATACTCCTTTAAAACCAATTTATGGGGAAAGTTGGTCGAAAACCATGAAGCTGGGGCAGTTTTGCATGTCCTAAGATACCGTTTTTATTTGTTTTTTTATGAGTGAAAAAAAAAACAACTACTAAACTAAAAAAAGCCCATACATTCAAAATTACACAAGCTGAAAACAGACGGACCTAAACAAATGAAGGAAAACACCAACGTCATGTAATACAAGAGTACAATAACTAACAGGTGGAGAAATGACCTATTAAAACTTGGAGCAGCCTTTTGTTGGCAGAGATGTTGAGGCTAAAATCCTTGAGATGCTCACAAGGGCCAATTTTGCTGATAAAATGAAGGAGTCTCCTTGTTTTCATGATTGAAGCAAGTAATTTCTCTGAGACAAGCGATAGATGCCTTGAAAATCGATCAAATGAAATTGTTAAAACAGTACAGTAAAGTGTATGATAATTCTATTAGAACCTTTTGCCTGGAAAATTTTACGGAGGATAATTTGCCAATCACTGCTCGCTTTCAAAATTGACATAATAATTTTGTATAATAAATATTCATTATCAATGCCAGAAAGTACACCAAATCCACGATCCAACACTAAGATAAGACGTTTCTGGAGATGGGGACACAAAATGAAAAGGGGAATAGAAATAGGATTTCCTTTGCACTTTGCATTCATTATTTTTTTTTTTGTGTTTTTTTTTAAGAAAAATCTCAACCCATGATGCATCGACCTAGCATTTAGTAAAATGTAGTTCATTAATTACAGACAGGAAAAAAAAACAATTGTTCTTCTTATAATTCAGAAGAGAAGGAAGCGAGAGAATAAATCCTAAACTTCTTCTTTTTTTTTTTTTAATAACTTGAATCCTAAATTTCTTGTCTAGCAAGCGAAAGTGAAATAAATAACAATTTAATAGAAATTCTATAGGTAAACGACATATTAATCAAAATGAAAGTTTAAACAGAAAAATGATTTACACATAAAGTGATTCTGAAAATTGTATGCTCAATGTAAACATAGAACATTATTTATGACTCAAGATAATAAAATCGGTATAAAACTTTATAAACATAAATATAGACTGCCATTCAATTCTCATGAACTGCTAAACATACCGAGATTGCCACTTGTACATATATGTCGGTCAAAAACTATATTCACTAGGGTTAATTTTACATATCTTTAATAACCTTCAATTAGTAAATTTAAAACGCGATGAAAAAGATCACGGCCAAAATATATATATAGAGAGAGACAGAGAGAGAGGGAAAAAGAGATGTTAGAAGCACAGCTAACATAATCAAAAGAGAAAAAGAAAATCAGAATAAATATGGTACCATACAAATAAATGTGGCAACAAATTCCCAGACAAATAAATCCCATGAGGAAGCTACTGCCAGCGTGTTCAAATTTCAAAAGACAAATTAAATTACGTTACATTATGAACATGAGGAAACACCAAAGGGAACAAAAACAGAAGCAGAGTCCCCATGAACCCCACAAAGAAACTTGCGCAAACTTGTGGGAAGGTAAGATCCAACCACAGAGCTAGCCAAAAATGAACTTGAGTTAAGCCATTCCCTCTACTCGCAGGACGGCAAGATTCCACGCAACGATTCAAAAAGAAAAATAAAGAAAAGTACTAGATTTAGTTTTAGTCACTTCATTCTGGTTATGTACCTCAGCCTCCGAATACTTGGGTTTGTGTTTCTCTATAAGCAAAAATTAGGAGCCCCATTTCCTGCTGGCTCCAACTCCTCCAACAAAAAAAGCCAATATACAGATATTGGAGTGATATCACTTGTATTACGCTGCTGCAAGATTGAAAGGTTAGTGCCTGAAGTTAAGTCAGTCAGAGTTCTTTGAAGAGCCCATTGAAGAACTTATTCCATTAGAAGACTCCTCTACGCTAGCCGAAGCCAAAGAGCTCATCGAGACACGATTCTCCTCGTTACTACTACTAGTACGGGATTTTCCAGGCCTCAATCTCATATTAACACCCATGGGGAAAGGCTCCTGTACAGAAAAATGAAGTCAGTGTTGTCCAATGGAGGAGATGACCAGAAGAAATTTCCTGAATCATCATCCATTTTCTCAACTTTTTAGGCGCATGAACATAATCATCAAGGGAATTTCTCAAGGAAAATGTTCTTATAGATGCGCAGTGACATATTTTATATATCATTTTCAGCCAGTCAATAGCATATAAAGCCTTTCCCTATTTGCATAATGTCAAGGTGTCCAAAGAAATAGACAACTAATGTGCATACAGTACATATCATTAGCTGGTTTTAAGGTGACAAGAAAGAGGAAGTAAATGAGAAATCCTGTAACGAGACTTGCAGTTTATTTCTATCAGCCTAACATTCTCGTGAACACCAGGTAGAATCATATGTAAGATGAAATCATTGGTGGAAACTATGACATAAGCTCTTTTTAAGCAGTAGTCAACAAGAAGAAATATTTCATCATACCGGATCGCCAGCATTTGGGCCCTCTGTATGGAAGAGAATAGGGCGGCAACGTTTATCCTCATTCATCAGGCTCGAGTTTTGGAAATGTGCAATAAGAGCAGCTTTTCCCTGAATTCGAGCATAGGCAAGTGAAGCCACCTTCTCACTGTTAAACTTCTCCCATTTTTTCCCATTAAAAGCCTGCATAAGGTTTTTCTAATTTCTCAGCTTCACCAATTAAAAAAGTAATAATATTGCATAGATAATAACAAAAATTCAAGTTGCATAGAAGTTCTTAGAGTCACCTTGTGAAAGGGAATGATTTGACTAGGATCAGTCATGTTGATGAAGGCATAGCCAACATTACATTTGTTCTGCAATTATTTGTATAATCAAATAAGAAACACAAGTAGGATTCCTTCTATAAAGAAAAAAACCAACTAATGGCATATAAATACTTGCCTTGAAGTCAATTGGTAAATACAAAAAATCATAAGTTCCCCGACATTGCTCATCTATGGCAGCAAGAAGCATTTTTGAAGTATACCTAAAAATAACAAAGGGACGCTTCAGAAATCCTCCTCTGCAATAAACTGATTGTCCAATATAAAAATATGCTGATAAGCACAGCCATGGACATGTGTAACGGCATGAACATCATAATTAAGGGAGAAAAAGTTTTTGAATTTGTGCTGCTAATAAAACTTTAAATTATTTAAGGAAAGCAAACAACCAAAAAATAATCAGCCAACCTGAGTAAAAATCATAGAACCAAAACACATGCATTTAAGTTAGTACTGGCCATATGTTAATAAACCAATTTCAGAATTTAATAACGCTAATAGGGCAATAGACAAATTTTAACAAATGCAATTTTTCTGCTGTAAATTAAAAGATGACAGAGTACTAATGCAAGAAATTAAAAAGGTCATAGTGGCTAGGAGAGCAATTTACATACTTGTTGGGAATATTCTTAATCATAAGTGTTGTTCGTGAGTCTTCTCCATTCAATATACGACTTAGGTCAAGCTCAAATTGCTTTTTGTCAGCACTATTAGTGTTAGCATCACTTCTACGGTGATAGAGGTTTCTCATCCTGTCATTGGTGGACATTGAAGCCATGGGATGTCTCCCAGGGAAAACATGTGGATTTGGGGAGCCCTGCCCAGCATTGGGTGACAAATCCATGCCATTTCCACCAACATGAGGAAACATATTGTGAGAAGAAAAGTCTGGAGGATGCAATTGCCATGTACCAGGAAAACCGGTACTCCCAAGAGAACCCATGTGAAAACCAGAGGATTCAGGGGACTCTGGCAAATAAGAATGTTGTCTATCCCATGGGGAAGCTGTAACAACTGGTGCTGATCCAACATGGTGGTCTATATGCGATGCTCTCAGCATAAGAGATGATGATCTGGGAAAGCCGGGCATCTGTTGAAGACAAGGAGCACAAGCACCATTGACAAATGATGGTGTTTTCGGCCAAACCATTGGACCTGGTGGAGTTTGCTGGTGCAAATTCGATCCATTCCACATGTGGTAAAGCCCATGATTAGGAAGGCTCCCATTTCCTGTATTAAGAAAAATAGAATTTCTCATACCAGGATTCATTGATTCAAACATAAAACTATTCAAACTGCAGAACAAACATGAGATTCTTCATCCCACAATTTACTTTTTGAAAGATGGATTTCAACTCAGATGGTAAGTATATTTAAATAGTAGTTTTAGTTTCTTAAGTTAATAAAAAATTACGTAAAGAAAACAGGAATCCACAATCCCAATAAATCCTTACTCTCAACATATTGCCCTTCCTATATAAGAAGCATCCAATGGACATACCTCCTCCATTAAAGTCCGTCACTTTCCCAATTGAACTGAATCCCAAGTGTGCCTGCTGTCGGAGCTATCTGTCACTCCTGGACTCATATTACCAGATACATTGCTAAAGGTTCTTGAAAAGTTGTAAAGACTGCCACAAGCTAAACCATCATGATACTCAGGAAGGGAATGAGGATGGAATCTAGGAATTGATGGTGCTCTCACTGTGTTGTGAATGCCAGAATTCACATGTGAGAATACATTCAGTGATAAGGCATCCATAGTTTGTCGCATTGCTGCTGGAAATCCATGATCAGATCCATTGTCCAAGCAGCTAGATGCAATTACTCCAGAAGATGTTATTACTGTAAATAATGCATAGTGAGACAGAGAAAACCAATTCTTTCTTAGGAAACAAAAACATGAACAACTTGAAGCAGATAGAAGACCCAAAATCATACCACTCTGTCTTAATGATAAGTTGTCACCCATGCTCTGACTAAGATCAGACTCATTCTGCCCCTTCTGAGACTGCTGCATCAAACTACAAATACAGACTTTCTGATGTTATTTACACACTAAATGAAAGAATTTCTAAAATAAAATTTAATGAGTACTATTTAATAACTGCAGATGAGGGCATAAGAAGAATGTTGCAGTCCATTAACCACGTAGATGTCGGTTTATGAAAGTTGTTATGAAAGGAAGCCAAAAGAAGGTACAGAACCTATAATCTACAGAACTTCAATTAAGAGCTGTGTGCTTCAAAGCAAAGAATAGTAACATGAGCTAAAAAAGAAAAGAAAATAGCCACCATGTTCCATTTGAACCCCTAGGATGACTGGCTTCAAGCTTGATCTGCTTCCCAGCAATTTCACTCTTGTTCAGAGCACGAAGAGCAGCTTCTGCAGCTCGCACATCATAAAACTCTATGAATTTGTCATAATTCATTTCTGGAGATTCATAAATCTGTGAGCAAAAATAGTATTTAGTATCCTCATACAATTTTTATTGGGAAAAAAAAAAGCAATCAAAACAACAGTGATCCACTTACTTCTTTGATTTCTCCATAAAATCCAAAAATTTGTAGAAGTTCATCATGTGAAACAGAAGAATCAAGACCAGATAGAAGCAGTGTACCATGGCTAATATCCTTCTCCGGAGCATTTACCTAACACATCAGCAAGTGTAGATGCATTCATAAGCAAAGCATCAAATCTAAGAATAAGAAGCAACCATGTGGCATTATGATAGGACAAAAAAGAGATTATAATAAGAATAATACTATCTAAATACGGAAAGGGCACTATTCCTGCAGCACATGTGGCTAAAAATCTTACCTTCGGTATGGAATAATGTATGTCAAGTCTCCTAGACCTCAATGACCTGTTTTGAAGAGCTTTCATTGCATTTTGTGCAGCTCTTATGTCATGATAAGAAATCATAACAAATCCACGATGCTTGCAAGCAGTATAAGTGGTTCGGACATCACCATATTGCTGTCACAACAAACAAAAAATTGCATTCGCTTTTTATATGATTCAAGGTGTAAAATTCTTCCTAAGAATTCTATCATATCGTCTACCAACATAAAACAATAAAGATGCACCTCAAAGAGAGCCTTTAGCTCAGAATCTTCAACATTGCTGTTGATGTTTCTAACAAAAAGTGTTCTAGAAGGGTGTTCACCAAAAGGAAGTTTCCCTTTAAAGCCTCCAAAGAAACCAAGATCTCCATCTGGACCACTGGGCCTTTTTCCTGAAGTCAGATGTTCATCACCTTCAAGCTCCATGCCTCCACCACTGCTAAACAGATCAAAATCTTCCAGGTCATCACCAGTTCTGGTAAGAGTATTGGATCCTAAGTCATCAGTGACACCAGAAAATAGATCATCTTCATCAGGAAGGAGATTTCCGATAGTGTCGGCCTCAATTTCTTCAAGAGATTTATATGGTTCCTCCTCAGGAAGTGAACCAACAGTAACAGGCTGTTGAGGCAGAACATCGTTTTCCGTTAACCTCACTGCACCAAGATATGCATATCCACCGCATAAGATGATAAAACTCTTGGAAAAATCAGAAATTTGAAAAATGAACAACTAAGAGAGAAAACAATTTCATGTTTATTGTTTCATAGGTCAAGGGTATTGCCCTTCTTTATTCTGCTCCATTAGGAAAAAGAATCGGCATCTAATATTCTCATTTACCACTAACACGCAAGTAAACTAATAACAAGTAATTATTTCTAAAAAAGTATCAGAGCTGATCGATTGACTAAGCTCCTGTAATCCTACCACACAGTCCACTAGTTAGCATCCATTAGAACAAGATCTTACACTTCCGGGTAAATATCTCAGATAGTGAGCTTGAGAATAAACTACTTTCACGTGAGGCAGCATTAGTAATGATCTTATTGCCAATTAAACCATATGGGCTGGATGCTGGCTGCGTAAGCACATTAGACTGAGACCTGGGACGATGATTTAATGGTTCCTTGGAGGCTTCAAACGTATCAACAATGCCTTCTTCACCAACATGCAGCTTTTCTATGGTTTCTCCAGACAGACCTGTTGTTGACTTTGACCACCTAGTCTTTGCACTAATTTCCCGAGGAGACAAAGCATTCAAAATGCTGCCAGGTGATGCTGTCATTCCATTCTTTCCTAAAGAAATAAAATAAAAATAATATTTCAGAACACACTTTGTCCAGTAAATTAATGAATATTCTCCATATGCATTAATTACTACCAAACACACTTACATGGATGAATATGGATAGCAGGATACACGCATAGAAGGGGAGTGGGGAACATGACAACATTTAAAACTAACATAGTAAAAGCAACAGAGTCTGGATAACAGGTATTTCCAAAATACATCTCTGGTCTTCAATCCAGCAGAGTACACCACCAAAACTCAGGACTCTTCAAATGACCCCAGCTATACCAAAACTAAGGAGTAGAACAGCAAGGATAAGAATTATATGCGCATTGTAAAGCAGCATCGCAGTAAGGATGAGGCAATGAAGTCTTCACCATAAACTGAAACAAATACATCAGTTCAAGCATTTAAGACTTCTCCTTGTATGAAGCATGCTTACTGCACCAATAATCACTACTTCAGATGCAACTAAACATTTATATGAAGTTCACAACAGAAAATGAGGGAAACATTGACAAAAAAATAAAATCCCAGAACAAACATGCTTTTATCACATTTGAACATCGAGACCAGACCCTTATCAGATAAAGCATGCAAAAAATGTCCAGAGAGACTGAGAGAAGTTATTCAGTATTATGGAATCACAAAAGTAGTGACTTGCCAGATTCTAGACTGGAAGTTAGACATGAGCAAACCAATGAAAGACTTGAACAAAATATAAGCCAGTTGATCCTAACCTTGATGGTAGTGTTCACGAATAGATTTTGGCCTCTGCAATCCAGCATTCTTCTAACCAATAGAAGTTCACGATGGGTTAAAAAACCAACAGGTCCGTAAGGCTAAGGCATTAAGGATAGATGAAATAACTTGACACAACTAAAATCATAAAGATACAATGATAAATACCTCAGAGCAAAAGGAAATGTCATCAAAAAAGTGTGATGAGGCAGATACAGCCCTCTGATCCATTATTTCAAAAGGCATCCTGTGGTTCAGAGTCTAGAGGGTGGGGAAAGAGAAAAAATTATTGAAAAGCTCTCCACTTGCTGGCTTTATGCAGCATTTGCCCTCTGTTGAAAATTTTAAGTATCCTGTATGAAAGAAAAAAGGACAGATGGGAATAAACATCGCATCGCATCACAAAAAGCTATTAGGGGGGAGAAAATCCAAGGCCATTTCAGACCCAGAAAGTGTCGTAAATCTTAACTATTAAGACCTTGATTGATCTTTTCCAACATCCTCCAAGACAGCCAGCCACACACAGGTTGGGGGAAAAAATAACAAAAAAAGATATGATGACTTATTAAATTTCTGATAAAGCTCCTTCCTGAATTCTAGGTTTTAACCGTATAATTAAGCGAGATTGCTATAAAACTAGATAAAACAAAATGTGACATCTTCAAGACTTCAACTAAATACCACCAGAAAGAAAAAAGGAAGAGAAGGATAACGAGGAAAGAAGAAAACTCACTGCTCACCTAACAACAACCTAACTCAGCTGAGCCATTTGTTGGCGAAGAAAATGTAGGAAAATAATACAGAACGATCCACAAAAAGGAGTCAATTTTGTAATCAGCTGGGCACAAAGAACCCCCTTCCAGCAGCTCGCTTTTTCTTAAGTGACAAATAAAACGTCATCTTTCTCAAGTTTACGATAATCCGCCCCAGTTTTGGCAGAAACAGAAGCAGATAAAAAGAGAATTTCGCAAGAAAAGCTTCAGACGATGACGGATCAGATGGAAAAACCCATATTTTCAGAGGGAGGAAATAATGGCATGCGTAGAAGAGGTTCTAAATTGTATAATAAAATCAAAATCAGAAACAACAAAACGAAATAATTCAAAAAGATGAGACTACTAAAACCATGCATACACAAATCATAATTGGTCAATTTAACAGATTCATACCTGCAAATTTTCAAACAGTCTTGGCACAAAAACCCCAAAACTCTTTTTTCCTCTGTTCCTTCGCAGAATTCAACAACTTACCCTCCAAAGGTTGAGAAGAAAGAGAAATAAAACAAATCTTGGCGTCGGTTTAGAGCACTGGCAAATCATAAATAGGGGATCTCAGCATTTTTTGGTACTTCGCTGCAACAATCTCCATCTACTTTCACACTGCATTGCGCTGCCCGCAATCTCTTGCCAAGAGGAAAACAGACAAAAATGCCTAGATGTAAAAAAATTTCTTCTTTCTAACAATCAACCCAAATATCGCACCGTCATGCACTAATTATACCAGCTAGAAAGAAATGAGAATTGGAACTCAAAAGCGAAAGAACTAGAAATTCCAGCAAAGTGAGTTTCCGGCGAGATTAGACTCGCCGGACACCCTCTGATTTTGGGGAGAGAATCAGACAAAACAGAGGAAGGAGGAAGAAAGTTAAAAAAGCGTGTTAGTTGGCTTTAAAATACGTGCAACAACAGCAATTATAACAACCAAGAAAAAAGAATGCGAGCATAAATAGGCGCGGTGTGCGTGAGTATGCGTGTATCTTGGGTTTTCTGTAATAAAATGTAATTAATGTTTTCAAATTATATCAAATCGCTTTCAATCTCAGTTCAAATATAATACTTTTTTTTGTTTTTTATTATTATAAAAAAATGAATAGTATAATGGTAAATATTAAGGGAATATGATAAAAAAAATTCATTAAAATTAAGTAAATGATAAATTGCTCTTATAAAATGATATAATTTTTTTTTTGAGTCTTTTAAAATCTTTTTGTCATCAGAGAATCAAATAAAATGATCAAATTACTCTCAAAGTAAACAAAAATTTCAATCCTTACTGAAGAAATTTGCAAAATTTTTCTAGTCTATCTTGGGTTCTCAAGTTCTCCATTCACATCTTAATTCGTTGTATTCTACTAGTCCATCCCCCTCTCCCTCTCCTTCTCTTTCTTCTTGTCATTCTTGTGTTCCTTTGTTTTTTTAGTTTATGTACATGGATTTTTTGTTTTGTTTGGCTTTTATGCATGGGTATATATAAGCAAACATTCTTTCTCTATTACATCGACTGTACGTGTGTAAACTTTTTCCTTCCATGTGTGATAGTTGAAGTTAATGTGGGTTATTGTGTGTAAATGATTGAAGTTTTCATTTTCTCTCCATACTTAAAACTGATAAACATGGGTACTGATGTTTATTCAGTGGGTATTGATAAATTACAATTTCTTATTGCATAGTTGTGAATTCAGGAACAAATTTGTTAATATCAAAACCAAAGTTGTAAATGGATATTTACGAATTTTCAATTCTAATGCATGTATGAACTTGCACATCAAGACTTATAAAATGGCTAATAAATTGTTGTGAATTTAAAAATAAAAGTTTTTAACCCAGGAACCAAAGTTGTGAATGGAGACTTATGAATTTTCAAGTCTAATACTTGTCTAAACTTACACACTAGGACTTGTGAATGATTAATAAATTATTGCAAATTTGGGGATAAAAGTTGTTAACTTGAGAACTAAAGTTGTGAATGGAGACTTAAAAATTTTTAACTCTGATACTTGTCCGGACTTGCACACTAAAACTTGCGAATGGTTAATAAATTATTGTGAATTTAGAGACAAAACTTGTTAATACTAAAACCAAAATTGTAAATGAAACTTACAAATTTTCAACTCTAATACATTTCTGGGAAAAAGTAACATTTCTTTTAATTCCCTAATACTAAAAAAATTTTAAGAAACTCCAAAAAAATTATACCATTTTGTGGAATCAATTTATCATTTACCTAATTTATATAGATTTTTCTATCATTTTTTCTAAATATTATCTTTATTAATTATATTTTTCAGTGTTACTTTTCTTTTTAAAAACATAAAAAATGGAAGGGATCAATTACATTTTTATATTATACTAGTATTTTTGTTCTAACAATTAATTATATAATATATGGATATTATCAAATCATTGTCTAATTATGGTTTTTATTGATTCCATTTTTATATCATTATTACACAGTTTGCCTACTTTTATATCAAATCAATCTAATTAAATTAGCTTTTTTTTAATCCGTTTCATTATGGATTCTATTATTTTGATATAATTTTTCATATATATTTTATGCATCTTTAAATTTTGATTTGTTACACAGGACATTAGTAAGAATAAGAAAACGGTTATAAACAAATAATTTATGCTTTTGATCATTTACAAATAGTAAAAATTATTAGCATTTTATAGCATACATACATACTTATATATATACGGATATGGGTTTTTAGTTATATAGAACAAATGTCAATATAAATCAATAACAAGTGTCTATTAGGCACAAACAACAAATATTATTTTGTCCTAAGAAGTCTTCTAATCAATAATAAATAATTGGTTCAATGCATGCTATTTCAATTGCTAATTGTTTCATTTAGATTGTATCATTGTTTTGAATTAACATGGGTTTTATGATCCTTTGAGGACATCCCATAAAATTAAAATGAAACACAAGTTATATATATATATATATATATATGGCACAAGGTTTTAAGTATGAACCGTTTTATCTACGCTTTAATTCTTCATATTTTTTGTCGTCTTTGAAAAGTTCGAGCAATTGTTTGGCGATCCATTTAATTTTTGTAGTTAGTCTACTATTTCCCTTCAACGATCCTGTTTGAAATGTAATCTATATGTGCTAAAATCTTATAAATATTAGATACAATGTAAAAGAAAAATTTAATCTATATAGTACTGCATATAACAAATGAAATGTACTAGAATAATACTCGCCAGGAGGTTGGCTTAGTTAGGTTTATAAAGAGTACATAAATGTAATACATCAAAAAAAAATTTAAGTATTTCAGGTAAAAAAAATTAAGTATTATATAAATACAACACATAACATAAAAGTGTAACAGTATATTATAAATATTATAAAACCGATAGATATAATGTATGATAAAATGTATTAAAAAATCGAACAGGTCTGGTTCCTCTGGTCCTGATCAATTTTATGTTTGAGAAAACCAAAGGAAGTCTTTACTTTGATCGATTAGTTTGACCCATTTTAGTTGATTTTATTTGGTTTGGTTCAGCCTAACAAGTTTAGTTTGATTTTTGAACATCCTTGCTATTAAGTATCACGCGACCAATTGACCGTTCTCTTGAAATATTTAAAAAATAAAAAATAAAAAATGGGGGGAATTATCAAAAATAAGGTGTACAATTCATTACGTATCTTCTTACATATATTAAAGTTGAATGGTGACCAATGTTCTTGCAGTAAGGAAATCAACAATGACACTGAGGCCTGCTAATATAAACCCTCCTAATCATGACTACTGGCATTTAAAAAAAATATTTTTATATTATATTTTGTAATATCGTAACATATTTTTGTATTTATAAAATTTATAAATTAATTTTAAATTTTTGCACAGACAATATGTTCATAAATAAAATGCCGTACTTATCGTAAATTTATTGCATAGATAATAAATTTTGAAATAATATATATATAGGGTGATAACAAATTTTCAGATTGTAAAAATCATTAATTATTATTATGGCCACTTACATTAAACTAATACTCTTTTAATTTTCTTTATGAGATATTTCTATCAACCTCATCAATATTAATGTAAAGAAAGTATAAAAAATAAAAGTTATAAAATTCAAACATATTCTTATATAATAAATTTAAAAAATAATGTTATGTTATTTTTTTATAAATAATAATAATTTTAAATATGACTTAAAAAATTATACCATAATTTATAAATGAAATTAAATAAATTTTTTAAAAATGAAATAAAAGGGAGCATTATTTTTTCGTTATCGATGGCATCGAGGAATTAGAATTGGAACCTACCTTTGTGCATTTTAAAATGAGCAAGGAGCATCAAAGTTCAAACAAGTCGTTTCGGGGCCCACGTGCTCAGGGAACCTCTGCGTGTCATCAAAGCAATGGAGCTCCACTCTGATTTATCTTCCAAGGATTCAGGTTATGCTTCATGGATGATGTTAGGTGTACGAATATGATCCTGCATGTGAAAGTAAAATATTAAATTTCGTGTATTATAAAAAAAATTATAACTAAAACATATAAACCACATTTTTAAAATTTAAAAGTATGATGAATTTGCATTGAAATATAAAAAATTTATTATTAATAAATATAAAAAACAAATTATAATGTAAAATATAATAAATATTAGATTGTTTGCTTGGTTTTGCTTTATAATATAGGTTATGTTTGCAAAAATTTCAACAATATAATTTTTTTTTTACCCTTTTATCGTTTAATATATAAAAATGGAATGTTGCTTGGTGGGGTGAGGCACCAACTGCGGAAGGGAAGAAGGAAAGTGTGGAGCAAGAAAATGCCATGGGGGAGAGAAACCAAACCTGGGGTGGTATTTAATTGTCAGTTAAGTATTATTATTTCTTGGGATGAGATCCTGCCTCTGTTCCACTCTTGGAATAAATTCATTTCATTTCTTAGCTTCTTTCTCTAACTGCTTCTTTTTATTAATTCAATCTCACGGACCAATTGCTTATTCCTATTCTCAATCCCTTGCCATTTCTTCAAATATCCAACTGATATAAGCATGTGCAACTGATATAGCCACAGTGGATCAAAGTCATCGTCTGGAAATATTCCTTTATCCAAGATATACGACCTTACGAAAATTTTATGCTTTTTTACATTTATATCCTTATTTTATTTTTTTATTCCTTGTTTTTTATAAAATTAATTAGCATAGTTTAAATATTCCACTTAATGACATAAATGAAAGGATGTAAACATTTTTAAAAAATTAAAATATTAACTAACTTTTTTAGAAGCTTAAGTTAGTTAACAATGACTTATATTATTGTTTGATGAGAGTATTAATTTGACAACAACACAAGATATTTACTCATCTGCTCTTATTTATGAAATAAAGAGAAAATTAATTTTAGTTCTATTTATAGGCCGCTTCATTGTTCATATTTACCCTATTGCCTTTATTAAATGCTGGGAATAATTATTAAAAATAATTTTTATCCTAGTTAGATGGTAAAGGTGGAAATTAAACTTATTAAACTGTAAGACATATTTAGTTTATTTAAGATTTTTTTTAGTTCCAATGAAACACGTAGAAAGTAGCTTATAAATAACGCTATAGGAAGAATAAGATTAAGATGCAGCAATTTATTGAAAGAAAAAGGTTAATAAGCATCTTATATCTTAAAATATTACACAAATAGCATCATAAACCTTAAATTCTTGAAATGTGCAAAAAAAATTTCAATTTTTAAATTTCAAGTGCCTAAACTTCACCGTTAAGTTGGAGAAGATGGTCATTAATTTTAAAGGTCAATATGAATGTCACATCAGCATGCAACTAGGCCTTACAACCACAAATGTAACGGCATTTTTTTATAATTTAAAGGTGAGGTTTCAAGCCCTTGAAATT